AATTATTGAATTTACAATTAAGTCTATAAAAATTATTATCAATTCATAATATCATTGATCGAAAAGTGTATTTAAAATTTGGGCTATTACACAAGTTGTATAAGAATGAGGATTAAGAGACTTTGGTTAATATATTATACATGTTTTAATGCTTCTACTGATATTCGGTCATTCATGATATTGATTACTTGATTTCAGGTTCATCATAGAGTAGATAAAAGCAAGGAATCATTAGTAGATTGTCTTTTATAGATGAAAGCAATGTCCATATACATATAATTTGTCTGATGAGATAGTAAATAACTAACTTTGTATTTTATAGCATATATATTAAGTAGTGTTGTTTGAAGGTGTATTCAAACTTCAGTTGGAGCATTTAGCCCTTATTTAGGATTATAATTTTAATTGTCTTGTATGTTAATTTTATTAATTAATATGAAATTTTATGGAATGTTGGAAGATTGATTATATGGTTAAGTGTTAACGAGGTAGTTATGTGATTGTCATGGAACCATGTTGGAATAAAATTCAGGATGATTGGGTCAGATGTGTGTGTGTGTTGAGTTATAAATGTGTTTTAGAGGTTGAGAAAATTAGAAATGATCCATTTAAAAAGAAACCCTACCGAAATTTCAATAAAGATACTAATGATCTTAAAAAATCATAAATATGCCGCCAAAGGTTGAAATTGAGATGGAGATGTTTTTAAAATAGCGAATATAGTTGCCAAAATAAATAAATTATTCATGGATGTTAAAAGGATTAAATGGATTAAATAATTCATAATTAGATTAGAGAGTGATCTGTAAGTATTATTGGATTATTGGATCCATTATTAAGTCGACATTACTAGGTGAGCACAAAATGAATTATTGGATATCAAAGTTAAAGGTGAATAAAGGGTTAATATAGAACTACAAATGCATTTTTTATTGTCAAGTTAGAAAAATATAAATTTATTACTTGGAATCGGTTATTAGATAACGAAATTGTGATAATTACTTGGAATGAATTGAATTTTTAAGGATTTTAAAATAATAAAAGTTATAAATATTAATGAGTGATGACTTATATTAATTATGTGTTATAAGTATTTTTCCTTGAAAACCTCAGTTTCTTTTAGAATATCATAAAGCTAGCTAGGTTTATATGTTGAAGAGATCCTAGGTTTATATGTTGAAGAGATCCTTGTATTTTCAAATGATTATCTTAAGATTAATTTTTATGTTTGTAATTTAATAAGTGTTTGTAATTAGAAATGTGTGGAAAAGAATATTGTACCATTGTAGTAATTAACAAAGTTGTTGATGATGAGTTGAGATTGCCCTAATTATTATTATATAAAAAACATTATCCAAATTTTATATATATTATTAATGGATTTAAGTATGGTGTTACACTTGTTGATGTTTATGGGCTGCTCCACATCATCCTTTTTATCTTAAAAAAATATTCAACTTGAATCAATATCTATGTCAAATAAAGTAAGATCAACAACGTTAAAGATATAATTAATACTATGCTTACTTGGAAGATTTACTTTATATGCATTGTCATATATCATTTTTATAACTTATAATGGACCATCATTAAGAAGCTGTAATTTTGATTTTCTATGGTTAGGAAATCTTTCCTTATACATATGTGATTGTGCATCAAAAGTGTCATTAAGTCTCTTATTTTACATATGTATTTATTGTTTTTATTTGGTTGTTTTTATAATAATTGATGTGTTTTTTTAGTAATGAAGTTTGTTTTAATGTTTCGATAGGTTTTTGGAGCTTAAATGAATTAATTCAGAAAATTCAACGTCGGAATTCAGAACAAAGAATTGAAGAGACATTTAGTTGAAGATTGAAGCAAATCTTGATTCAAATAAGTGCTCCAAATTTGTCCCAAAAATCAATTCTATTCCAATTCTAGAAAAGAATATCATATGATTTATTTCAAGCCCAAACTTGCCTTATGTTGTGTGCAAACTTCAACCATTAAACACTCAAGGTTTCAATGTCAATCTTAGCCCAAATAATAAGTACATTTGTATACTTATTTGATGCTCAAATTCAGCCCAAAATCAGCCCAAAATCAGCCCTAAATCAACCCCAAATCAACCTTCAAATCAACCCAAACACAATCCATGATCTTACATGTCCACACAACAAATAACAATTGATTTATTTTGGGTAATCCATTGATCCAAGAAGGCAAGCACATGGATGGAAAGCTGGAGGGGATATTTTAACATTATTTTGGGTCAAAAAGAAGAAGGAGACACCTCATAAATGAGGAAGAAAAACGTGCACCAAAGTAGTTGTAAAGCTGTCTTGATTTGATTTTTCAGAACACCTTTCGGTGTTTTGCCCATAACTTTTGATTCAGGTGTCCAAATGAGCTGTTCTTTAATGATCTGGAAAGGTGACAAAATTGCCTATAAATATGTCTCTAATAGACTTCTCAAAAAAAAAAAAGCTTCTAAGAGGGTCGAATTGCTGTCCAAAGTTAGAGTCAGATTTGTGTCCGAATTTTTTCTGAAATTATATTGTGTTCTTCTTTATAGATTTCGGTTCTTTAGTTTGTAAAACTTATTATTTCAGTTGGATTCAAGTTCTTTCATGTTTATTGAAGTGTTCTTATATATAATCATGGTTGGCTAAACTCCTTCTTGGATCCAAATCAAGGATAATGGTGATTGAGGTGAGTTCTTTAGGATATGAATGAATCTTAATGTTTATCTTCTTATTTTCTTCATGAATGATTTATTATTGTAAAGAAATTTTAGAAATCATTTAGGTAATCTTATAATCTTGAATTTTTATGCACAAACTTTAGTTTTGGTATAGAGATTGCTTGATTCAATGTCTTACTTAATATGAAAGTACTTGTTCATTCTTAAGCAATAATCAATCTTCATCTTTCTAATCTTCATTGTAATATCCTCCGATCTAATATCATCATCGTTGATATTAGGTTGAGTTATCTTATATATGTTGAAGAAATCACCAATACATCACCATTAAAATTGATTTGGACCAAGACTTACTTTTTCTTGTCATTTAAAAACTATTTACACTTTTTCATCTTTGAAAACAAATCCATCAATTATTTTCAACCAAGTTATTGTTAATTTACTTTCTCTTGAGTTTTTTTTTGTTACCTAACTTAATTTCCAAATCTAGCTCTCTGTGGATATGACCTCGATCTTACCGAGTTAATTGCTACATCGCACACTCGTGCACTTGCGAGTTAAAACAAGCCGATCATAAAAAGCTGTCAAGCAATATGCATCCATACCCAGTCACTTATTTAGAAAACATCCTGCTTGCGATCTTTATTTGGTTTGGAGGCATACAAACTATTTATTTTCTAAATTTATAGCTAAACTTTCTCATAGAGTTGTCTTACTATCTCTTTTTTTCACCATCTAAACTTACCTTTTTTTTTCATAGGCAAATATATTAAATTCATATGAGTTAGTGGATTAAAATCATAAATCACTTAAAAATAAGAAAAAACAGTAGTATAATGCATAATTTTATTATAAGCAAATTCAATGAAAGACAAACATTATTTTCAATTATACCTAGAGTTTCCCGAAATATTATTCTATGTTGGGATATAATTTTAGGTTAATTAGAGTTGGGAAAGGTCTGCAATATATGTCACAACAAGCTGTATGAATTTTGTTATTTACTTCTTTTTGATTTGTGAACTTCTTATTTAACAATGATACTTTTTTTTCAAGGATGTGACATCTTATTTTTAGAATTTCTTAGTTCTATAAGGATATTTAATAGATTGCAACATAGTTTTCAAGTGTGATAAGGATTTAATAACATTTCAAAATCCTTTTATTACAAGGATTCCTTATTAATCCTAGCTACACAAGTAAAGAATAGTTGTGGTATTTAATGACAAATTGATTAGCTTATTTTGAAGAGTTTTCTAATCCTACAAAGAAGGTTAAAGAAAGGCAACAATTATTTCTATGTTTTGAGATAATTTTTTAAAGTTATAATTAATTATCCTAAACAAACAAGAAAACTAAAGGGAAAATAACTTCAACAATCAATTCCCTAGCTTATTTTGGATATCTAAATATGGCAACAAAAATTTTAGTGTTTCTAGAATGAGAATTTCGTTCATGACATTATTTAAACTAGGAAAATTATTTATCTTAAATTATTTTTTTAATTAAATGCAACAACTTTAGTTTATGTGCTAGATTTGTTATTTTTATTATTTTCTTCATCTTTGGACTTAGTTAACATATCTTATTTGTGTTTATTGTGAGTGAATAAATATTAGCCCACAAATTTTAGGGTTTTTAAGGTTATTAGTTAAACTATTATATAAGATTTTGTAAGCTGAAATTTTTAGTAGCAATGAATTTATGAAATAAACTTTTGTTTTGTGTGGTGCAACACGTCTTCTTTGTTAGGATAAAAAACAAATTCGACTTATCAAGTTATAACTGACCTTGTAACGTCTTTTTTATACTTATCGTTCGAAAATTGATATTCGTTATGTGAGAGTTTTTTACTCTAATAATGCTAGTGCCTTAAAATAAGTTTTTATTGTGACATATTCATATTAAATCTGATTTATTAGTTTGAAGGGAATTGTATTATCTTTGTTGTGGGTTGCTTGATATAATTACGTTAAAAAAATTCTTTATTCAACTTCTTTTTATATTATATACTATTTTTTTAAGAATGATATATTGTCGAAAATAAAAGTTTAGTAACTTTTTTTATAAAATCTTCTAAAAATAATTAAAAAACTTAACATAATGATTTCAAATTATACTCTTAAAAATATCATGTAAATATATAATTTTTACAAAGAACAAGTCTGGTGAATCTTTGGAATAAAATTAAAAATAGCACATAAACATCCATAGGAAATTTAAATTTACCCAAAAGCCTCCCAAGACCAGACACGACAAGAAACGGTACCGTTTGGTAAAGACAATTAGTTTGGAAGTGGCCGAGGGAAAGGGGAGGGATGATAAAGGAGGAGGGCCTGCCTTAGTACTTGGGATAGATGGAAAACTGAAATTAGCTCTCTCCAATCCAAAACCAAAAGATGACATGTTATGGTGGGGTTGCTGCAGCGGCGGCCCTTCCTTCTCTTCCACCTACAACTCTGACTACTCTTCCTTCTTCATCCAGTAACACCTCTGTGAGAGTAAGAGTAAGCACCAAACCCATCTCTCTTTTTGGTTTTTGTTGTTTGCCCCGAAGCAGATGATGAAATGTTATATTCCTTTTCTTTTCTTTTCTTTTCTGAGAACAGGATGTGGGCAGTGGTGGCGCAGAACATCCTAATACGGTATTGAAGCCAACCGTTGATGGGTTTAAGTGGCGCTTACTTATATCTTATGATGGCACTCACTATAAAGGTTTCTTTCCCCTCGTTCCTACTTATCGTTCTCTCTCCTTTCTTGAGCTTCTTAATTTCTAGTTTCTTCTTCTTAGCTATCATTATTATCGATAATGGCCTTCGTTCTTGCTGTTTTCTGTATGTTAAGAATGTCCTCTCCTTTTATCTTGTCTGTTCAACAAGATTCAAACATGCCCAAAATTATATATGTTCATGTCTATGCTGCAACATGTACAGTTTTAATTTTCTGATTATCTTTAACCTTGTGGAGTTAAAAATTTTAGGCTGGCAATTTCAGCAAACCCCTCCAACTATACAGTGCATTCTAGAAAAAGCTTTAACTCGAGCTACAAAGCTTGAAAGGAAGGATCTTCATTTAGTTGGTGCCAGTAGGACAGATGGAGGAGTGCATGCCTGGGGTCAGGTCTGACTTTCTTACTCTTTTGAGTGTCCAACTAGCATCCATTGATTGAAAAAAACAAGCTTACATTCAGTTAAGATTCCAGGTGGCACACTTTGTTACACCTTTCAATTATGACAGCTTGGATAGCATTCATGCAGCTCTCAATGGTCTCCTTCCTCCTGACATTCGTGTTAGAGAAATTAGTGCTGTAGTTCCTGAGTTCCATGCTCGATTTTCTGCCAAGGGAAAGACTTATCACTACAAGATATTTAATGATGCTGTCATGGACCCATTTCAGCGTCTGTATGCATACCATGTTACTCATAAACTCAATGCTGCTGTAATGAGAGAAGCAGCAAATCATTTTATTGGAACCCGTGATTTCTCTGCTTTTGTCAATTCATCACGCAATGATGGAGTGCCAAATCCAGTGAAGACTATTTTTCGATTTGATATCATCAAAATGGTAATCAAATCCCATAATGATCTTGCTCCAAAAGATGGATTGGTTTCTTTGATTTGTCCTTTTAATTGCCACTGAATGACTGGACTTGGTTCCAACCCAAATTGTACATGCTCTTCTTGAATATCTTCTTTTGAGTTCTTTGATCATAATCAAATACCGGTCTTTTAGATGGACTATTTTCTTTTATTATTATTCAGGGAGCTCTCCTACAGCTAGAAGTTGAAGGCTCCGGTTTCATGTATAGACAAGTGCGGAACATGGTAAATTATAATTCTTAGAAATCTGAATCATGAAGTTAGCTTTTACATGTTGGAATGTAGCAATCAGGAGTTAGCTATAATGAATGATGCTCAGTTTTTGGGATGTCAGCATGAGCTAATTCTTGGAGATGGCTTCTGACAATTCACAAGAAATTTTCTGATCTTCGCTTTTGTAGGTTGCTTTGCTGCTCCAAATTGGCAAGGAAGCAATTGCTCCTGATATTGTCCCAAAGATTTTAGCTACTCGTGATCGCAAGGAGCTCGCTAAATATACCTTGGCTGCCCCACCTCATGGACTCTGTCTTGTAGCTGTTAAGTATAATGAAGAGTACCTGCAACTTCCATTAGGTTGCCCTACAACCAGTCTTGGTAGGCATCACAGCATAAGCAAGTGTAAGGTTCCATTTTATTAAGAGATTCATTACCTAAACACTTGCAGTGGGAAGATAAAGAAATAATTATTATCTGATTTTAAAGATATAAATGCAATCCTGTTATGTTCTAGAAATATTAGTCAATATTCATGCTGTTTTTAATACATTTAGCCATCATGTTTGTGTGTTTCAAAACAGCTCTCAATTTTCATTGCTTGTTCCTAAAAGAAACTGACTAAGATAATGCAAATCAGAAATCATATAAACTAAGATTTATCCATACTGTACTTTATTGTGAAGAACTTGATGCAAAATGCGCATGCGCATATTGTGAATTGGAACCATGGTTTATCTATGGTGCTGAAAAGGCCCATTTTAACACTTGCCAATTTAATCTCAAACAAGACTTCACAAACCATGCGTGGGCAATTTTTCTCATTGCCATATCGAGAGCATTAGGCAGTTATATAACTTCTCAAACATACATTTATTTGTTATGGGATTTGAGTGACTGAAGCATGCAAAGAGATCGAGAGCATTAGGCAGTTATATAACTTCTCAAACATACATTTATTTGTTATGGGATTTGAGTGACTGAAGCATGCAAAGAGATCGAGAGCATTAGGCAGGTATATAACTTCTCAAACATACATTTATTTGTTATGGGATTTGAGTGACTGAAGCATGCAAAGTAGTTTAACTATTGTTGTTTTTATCTTTTCAAATTTAATTAAGCACTTTTCTATTCTATTGGTAAGTCACCAATATTGCTATTTATGAATTATTAAGTTAAAGATAATTAACCCTACAGACTTTTGTTTGACCGATGTTGAAGTAGTGGAGTTTCTAGGTCATAAGGCTCCAAAAACTATAGTTTTAGGTTCCCTAACTTGTTAATTTCTAATCAAGTTAAATAACAGTCAATGAATGAGGTAAAAACTAATTTAACGGTGATTAAAATAACAAATCAAAAAATTGTTAACTTCAATTCATGACAAAAAAAGTCAGAAGTGCATAATAACGTGAAAGATACATGGACTTGCATTCATATCTTTAGGAATGCGTATATGGATTGAAATCTTCTTTGACATGATTTGCAATATGAATCGCCATTTTAGTAGAACAAGTGAGAACCAAGAAGCAATTCAACAGTGTACTAGTTGTTTATAAGTTAAAGACTATAGCCTACAAGATTACTGCCTACAAATTACTGCCTACATTCTACAGCCTAAAGTTTCTCTTTGTTTGAAACTTGAAAAGGGTGTACTGAGTGCATTGCAATCTGCAGATGAGTAGTTCCACGTTTGTTGTGTTCTGTTTTTAGTTTTCTTGTAGCTTCTATGCTATATCTACTTTTGTTGCTCTTTAAATGTTCCCCACGAACTCCAAGCTAGATATATGTTCATAGCTTGGTTGGGGCACGTTCATAACTACTTTCTCATTCTTTTAACAGTATAAATATCCATAGGCATACATATGGTGGAGTTATTGGTCATTTCCCATTAATAATTTAAACCATAAAACTCTTCTGATTGTCTCAAGTCCATTATCAACCAATGAGTCTGGTTTAATGCATTGAGTGGGTATAACATCTGCCTCTTTTGTTTTCCCCTTCCATATGCAAGTATTTTCACGAGTGTGTGTAGATAGAACGTTCATTTTGCCATCATTAACTGCTCCTATTTCCTAGGTGCAGCAATTATTTTATTTTTACCTGTTGATAGTACAACCTTTTGTTTTCCACAACCTATTTCCATTGCATCTATCACTGTTCATTCCAGCTCCTAGTTCTCTGTATACCTATTGTTCATATTACCATGAACTCTAGAAAGTATTCACTTTCTGCAATCTTAAAGCCCAAAGCTAGAGACTCCCAAGACCCTTCTTTAAATTGTAGTATATCAACTCTACAATTTCATTTCTTGTGTGGGCAGGTCCCTCCTAAACGCGAGAACTACCCCATCCCTACATACTCTGAAACCCCACAAGGGTCCACTCTAGGCCCCCGTCCTTTTCGTTCCCTAGGCTATAGAGATTTAGTTGGAAAAGCGTGTGGGCTTCTAGGCCTTTTAATCCCAGATTTTCATATTGGTAACTTTTGCAAGAGTGAGATCGCACCTTTTGTCGTTTAGAATAATTTCGCTAGTTGTTCCATATGCCCAGCAAGGAATTAGCCTGCCTATCAACTTGAGGTTCACATTCTTATGCATGGAGTTTACCCTAAAATTATAGGGAAATGGAGAAGAATAAGGACGATATGGATTTTTTATGTGGCCTTGAACCATATTGCTGACAAAAATATTCCTTTGTTAGGTGCCATTGTTTCATTGTGGGATATTGGAATTAATTAAATCCAAATTGCCAGGGGTCTTATAGGAGTAACTATAGAGGATGTAGTGTCTGTAACTGTGTGTTCCCCAATTGGTGTTAGACTGTTTTAGAGCCTACATTACTACTACTTAAGTGAATTACAAGAAGATCCTCCAAAGGCGCATCTGTAGAAGTTTGTGGTGTAGTTTGTGCTCACACCACTTATGCTAAAAAAACATATGGCTACTAATAATGTGGACATCATGGAAATGGCTTTTATTCGCTACGGTTTTGCGCAAATATATCATCCGTTAGTATTACGATTAATAACAGGTACATTCTTATTGCCCCTACCATGTTTTTATGTCAAAACCCTCTTTCTTTTGCTCATTTTATTCTTGCGTATGCTAATTGCTGGGGGCACTAAATCAGAAACATTGTTTATGCATGTACATGATTGATAAAAAATAGCCCAAACCATTAAAAAATTGAGCTTTAACTTATATTTTGGGTTTAATTTATATAAATTTTTAGTTGAAATTTATTAATTTGATTTGATTTATTGAGTTTGATTTAATTATTATTAAGTATTTTATTTAATAGGTCATAAGCCCACTCGCTTGTTTTACCTAGGGTTATAGTATTTATATTCTACTTTTCTAAATGTTAGGGAGTTTTAATAATTAATGAAAAATTTGCAGACTTTGCATATTTGATTAGCACTTAAAAGTGCATTTTTTATCAAGGTTTTATGTCATCATTTTGCACTTGAAATATCAATAACTCTTTAAGTAAAGCATGTTTTATAATAATATATTTAATAATATAAGATACCTTTAATTTGTGGTAAATGTTCATTTTAAATGCAGGCCTATCACATAAATGAAATGATTGATTGATGAATTTAAGAACTGAAATTGAAAGGACAAAGAGATGACCAAATTTAGAAAAGAGATACCGGTGCAATCTAAACCGGAACACTGTTTGGTAATTGGGTCATATCTGGAGTTGTAGATATCAGATTTAGGTCTACTTTATATGAATAAAAAGGTAATACATAGGCCTACAACTTTCATATGGAGCCCAAGATCTAAAAATGTCATTTTCAAGTCTAAATTGTAGCAATAACAAAGAAGTCCAAATGTCTTCCAACCCGAGCACTATTCAGTGTTTGGTCCATATTTGGAGTTCTAGAAGTCCAAATGACCTAAATTTTTTACACAAGAAAGCTGAGATAATTTTCTACAACTTTCATGTTTTCAAGTGGCTCCAATTTTAACGTTATCAATGACATTTTGGGCAGACAAGAGAAGATAAAGATTGTTACCAAGTTAAGAGTTGGTCACTCATTCATCAATTAGTCATCAAATCAATATTTTCTAATTTTGGCCTATAAAAGAAGGTATTTACCATACATTTAGGCATCTTGGTCTCCAGATCAAGATCATTTTTTGCTTTCTCTCTTTTTATGTTTTGTAATGTTTATGCTTTGCTTTCATTAATATCAAATTTATGCATTTCATTTTTTTTTCTTTACTTAGTTAACTCTTATCTTATTTGTATTCTTATTTTGTTTATTTATTTTTCTTTCTTTTATTATGTTTAGCTAAGTTTATTATGTCAAAGTGAAAATGTTACATTAATGATGTAAGAATAAGTATAATGTAAACTCAATATGGATTTTAATATTTGATACTAATATGTTTTGTATTTGTTATCTTGTTCACTCTTTAATACTTTGTTTATTAAATGACTAATCTTGATTTATGTTGTATAAAAACTGGTCCAACAAATGCTTGACACTTTTATAGTTCATATTGTATGGTATAACCGACACCTAATTTATGTTGTATAACACTTGGTACAACAAATTCTTGCCACTTTCATAGCCTATACTGTATGGTATAACCAATACTTGAGCTATGAAGGAACTTGATTTGTTGTTAACATAAGTTATAATCATGAATGTTTGACGAGATTTACAAGTATTAGCATTAATCGAATAAGATGACTAATGTAATCATGTTAACAATCTATAATCTGATTGGAGCCTCCTTTGTGTGTGGTTTCCAATTGAATAATAAGAGTTTATATTATACTTGTTTGACATACCATTAGTGGATTCTCTAACCTTGACATTTGTTATTATCATTGTTTAATCCTTACATTAATATTTTATCTCAAAGTTGTCATCTTTTTCTTCTTCTTCTCCTTCTTTTTCTTTATTATTATTATTATTATTATTGTTGTTGTTGTTGTTATTGTTGTTGTTGTCATCTATAATTTATATATTTAACCTCCTTGTGGTTCGACCTCGGTCTTGCCGGGTTATTTATTACTTCGACACTCCTACACTTGGGAGAAGATATCAATTTTTTAGTTGTGTAAATATCTCCAATTCTACTTCTTTTCTTTCTTTGCTTTCACTTCTTAGCTTCTTCTCTAAAAGTTTCTTTATTTTCTTGCTTTAATTCTTATTATTTATTGTCTCGCATCAAATTTGGTATCAAAGCTAGGGTTTTAATTATTCTTACAATTAAACAATCAACATGTCTATGTTAAACCATAAATTTAGTTTGATTTAAAAAAAAGGGAAAAATCCTACTATTCTGAAAAAAAGAAGAGGAAACATTGTTCATCTTCTCCATCAGCAGATAACCACCGCAAACTCAGCAACTTTGGAGCTGGTCATCTTCTCCATCAACGCCAATTAGAAATTTTGCTTCAATGCCGGTCACAACAATACCCACGGCGACAGATTCTCCTACAGAAGGTCACTCCCCACGCCACTGATGGATCACACTAAATCATCTTCAACGACGCCTTTACAGTAGACCTTCAACTTTAGCAACCAAATCAGCATCATAAACCACCAGACAT